TTGTCAAAAGTCCACTTAGGCCTATTCAATTGCTTTAGAATTTCAGCTGACAAGCCGAACTACCTTTCTTTATTTCTATTGCACTAATATTCCGTGTATACTTCACTTACAATTATAGCATGAGTTACCACAGTCATATACTGCTCTTTCAGTGATCAATGGTCTTGTTCTCGTACTTCAGATGTCAATGTGCACTCAGACTGGTTCAATTACTTTAGAACTCGCTTTGACAAAATAAACTATACTTCATATCTCTTTTAAAACTGTTAGTTCTCCTCTAACATATTAATCGTTAGGCCTTCCACTCTTAGGGCAGTTAACTTTACGTTTAACTTTCCTTGACCTAACTTCTACTTTTCGTATGCTCTGTCTGTCTGCAATCTCAATTTGTGCTCTTATTATCTCTATTTTTAGTCTCTTCTCTCTCTTTCTTTTTCTTATTTTTCAATTTGTATTTGCAGTCTCTCTATTTCCAGCCTCTCCTTTCTCTCATTTTCTTCTTTCAGTCTTTCTCTTTCTCAATCTGTCTCTTCTGTTGTCGTTCTTCGATTTCCAGTTCTTTTTGTTATTTAACAAACTCTCGTAATTCACTGTCTTTTAACCCAAGTTGAGATTCTCTTCCTACCCATTTATCAAAATCTGTTGACATGGTTATATAGCGTGATTTTAATCTCTATACTATTTTCGTTACTACTACAGTTGTGCATATATAGATAGGCCTACTTATTTCTGCTGTCGTTCACGTTTTCTTCTATCGCCGTTTACCACTCTACAATCCTGGCTGTCTCGCCAATCGTCAGATTTTAAAAATAATATATATATATACAAGTTCTTCCTTTTGCTAATTGTCGAAATAAATTACTTTTACCTATGTTTCTTAATAGTATAAATGTATACTATGTTGTTGTTGGGCTTAGGATTCTTCTACAGTAAGTGTCTATGACTTGTTAGCGATAAATTCAATGATGAATAAACAGCACACACTTTACTTGTTTTCAAATAATATATATATATATTTTTTTTCAGAACAAGTTAAACGTATGTACAACAAAGTCTTCACACTATAGAGATGACAGGCATATCATAAACACTATTTATTTATAGTTCTCTTTTTCTTGTCAAAAGTCCACTTAGACCGATTCAATTACTTTACAATTTCAGTTGACAAGTTGAACTATCTTATCTATATTATTATCGTACTATAATTCTGTGCGTGATTCACTTACAGTTGTGGCGCAAGTTACCGTAATTCGTTTGGTCTTCTTTCTTCTGAAGATCCTCTGTTCCTTTTGTCAGTGTACCCAGATTGATTCAATTACTTTAGATCCAAGCTTTGACGGAATAAAATTATCCTTCTTATCTTTTTTTTTATACTGTTAGTTTCACTCTAACATATTAAACGTTAGGCCTATTTCAATCGTTAGGCCTATCATATCTACGGTACTTAACTTCACACAGGTATATTCTCTTTTGCTATTATCTGTCTAATACTGTCCGTCTGCTGTTTCCCGCTCGTCTCACGCTATTTATATCTTTATTACATAATCGTTTCTATATTCTCGACACCAATTAGTTATTAACAAAACCTTCTACAATCGTCTGCTTTTAACTATTATTATTATTATAACAAAACTTACAAATAATAAAGTATTCACTCACAAATATAAATTAATCACTAATATTTAAACCAAACAGTCTTTTATATCATGACAGTATGAAATGTAAATACTGATTTACAACAGCAAATTCGTTTGTTTGTTTGTTTTTCATTCATTGTGAAAAACTTAAATCTTACTTTACTTCTGTTCTTAACCATATAGCTCTTCTTGTTTAGAGATTTTTTCTTCAGCTACTCTCTACGGCTTACAATGACTAGTAAATCAAATTTACTTGAAATAAGTAAGCCTTCAATATATATATATATATTTATATCTCGTTCATTTGTTGTTTTTAATGTTTAAATGGTTAAACCTTCAATATTTTATAGTTATTATTTTGTTTAGTTGTTGTTTCTTAACTGATCAACATTCATGTATTTGTCAGAATTTTCGTGATTTGAAACTACCAGATTTTACCAGTAGCCATAAACAAAAACCATTACAAAATTAGGTAAATAAATACTATAATTAGTGCGTAGTATGATGATGTAATTTTACTGGAACTAGTAATAACTTATCAAAACGTTTACGCTCACCAAAATACAGAGAATAATTCGCGATTCTTCGTACACCGCATGTTCGCCCGATTCTTAACTTTTTAATAATATCCACAAGAAACAAAAAATTACTTTTATATCAGAAATGTTATTTTTCTATATGACCATTTGGATAAAGGAATTACAAGGTGTGTCCAAGTACCACTATGACGTATTACCACCAGAGAAGGATGCTCTGAAATAAAATCTAATAAGGAAGTAACTTTCTTTAAAACTTGCTTACGAATAAAATGTATAGTCCATATCCAACGCTCAGCTTATTATTAAGTAAATGAACCTATCAACAGCTAATTTGTTAATTAAAATTCTCTCTGACTCCCTCTCGCATAGATCATTAAGATTACTGTCCTTATGTAATTGCTCATCAGGCAGTAACCATGCTCTGTAAAGTTCTTTATTACATCATTCGATACCCTCCATAGATTTTAAGCTTATATTTTTGGTCTGTATCCGATCTGTCTGCAATGTCCTTTCCAACCTTGCTTTTCTCACCTGCTTACTGTTCTTACGTCTATCTAAATTGTTGCCCTTTTCTTAGTTCTAGTTTACTTCCAAGACCATAATGTAATTACACAGCAACACTGAAGCTCTCCTGTGTTGCTAATTTATATCACCAAATCAAGGAGGCTCTTGGGAGAGTAACATGTTTACCCTTCTTATTATGTGTCCGTCTCTTTCAGTCTTCTCACTTTTTTTAGCCTATTAACTCCTCTCAGTGGAATTAACGTGCCTATGGTCTGTAAACATGCTTTGTAGATGGTCTCCATTGAGCAAGGACTTCATAGATCCTTTTTTAAAAAAACACACTAACGTGATCTCGTTACATCGTTCTATAAAGTCAGTGTCATTAACTTAAAAGGTTGACAGAAACTCAACTTCTACTTCGTCTATGTTGAATTAAGATTTTATCCTTTAACACAGCAGCGATTTACACGAGCAACACCGTCAGTTAAAACAATATAAAAAAACCTGTGATCTTGCTGTTTGAGCGTTCCAAAAAAAGAAAAAGAAACGAACAATATAAGCTTTAAAAACCATCACTAACCTTCTTCTCTTTTATTTTGAAAATTATTAATATTCTTCTTACCTTTTATTGTATAACTTATCAATACTTGCCTTACCTTTAATTGTGGAATTTATCAATACTTGTCTTACCTATTAATGTGGATGTTATCAATACTCTTCTTTTTATCTTGGTCTATTTAACAAAGATAGCGCTTGTTTGAGGGTGGAAAGTATGATTTCATGAACTAAAATAATAATTAAAAAATAATTAAACTGCTTTCAACGTTCTTGTCATAAATTAATTTACTGTACAACTGTCTCTGTTACCGTTAAGTTGTACCTGAAGTAGGCCTACGGCCGAAATGTTGTACAATAACTTCACTTACGATAAATAAGGTTGAAAAAAGTTTTGTTTTGTTTTTTCCTCTCATCAAATCACAGATACATACTTAAGAGACGAGGACTTACTTTAAGACGAGAATTGACTGTGATATTACCTAATACACGGGTTGATTATATTTCGACTTGTTAATAAACAATTAACACGAAGACTAAGTTAACGCCTTACTTGGAGGTGAAATACATTTAAACGAGGGCACATTTAACTTTAACTAGCCAATAAACGCTCAAAACAACCCTTGATGTCGAACTCTAACGCTGACGAAAAATATTCAAAACAAAAACCGACAACAAATCAGTTTAAACAGTTTTGAATACGCATTAACTTTTCAGTAAAGAATGAAAACAAAGGCTGGCTGAAGACAGTGAATAAAATGATTTTGATGTTCAAATAAAAATCAGAACAAATGCACGTTTTTCAAGGATATGAGACAAGCGTTTACCCAAAACTAAACCTCTTCGTGACCCGATGGAGGGAATAACTCCATTCTAACCCAGTAAATATATCGATGCTAGTATGTGACCCGTTTTTATCTGTCAATAAAAATAAATCGGGACGAGACCTTACCTTTTCTCTTAGTGCTAATAATGCTCGGTAATATATCTGACCATTTCTAGCGCACTGATGAAAACTTTTAGTCATAAGGACATAAAATGAAGAGTGATTCCACTTTATCTACTGATGAAGACCCAGAATGAAAATTTACCTCATAAAGATCCTTGGTATTGGGTGAAAGGCCTCGTCGTTACTGGAATATACCAGCTATTGTGTGTTTGACATATTATACACCATTCGTTTATTTCACTCTAAAGTTCTTATTAATAAATGTTTTCATTTGCTCACAAAGAGGCAATATAAAGCATTGATAATTTTTAATGAGCCTTTAATCTTTAAAACATAAAAAAGAGAAGTTGACCTTCTAATAAAAGTTGTGAGGGCAAAATAATTCTCTCGGACACAGCTGACTAGAAGCTGCTTTAAGTTATCTTAGTGTCTTTACAAAGTATTAGAAAATTTCTATTTTTTTTTTTCTAAAGAGACTGTAATATATGTGCAACAGAATTTATGATTATCTGAATAAATTTCATGTTAATATCGCCAGTACTAAAAAGTACTGGGCTGGTTATCGTTTCAGAGCCTACAGTGTCCTACTATGTACAAGAATATGTTCTATCAGGGTAAGTCATTTAATTTTTGATACACAATAAGGAATTCCCTCTAAAGAAAAGCTGAAACTTGACATTGACAACAAGTTAACATTTATATAAAAAAAACGTTTGTTTGCTTTGGACTAAATTTTCACTTTCGATTTGACCTGTTACGGAAAACTGTATTTAGTGGACCTTAAAACGATTCTCATTTAGTTTCATAGAAGAACACTTTGTCTTTAAGGATCACTTCATTAAAAATTATTCTTTTCAAAGAAAAAAAAAGCACTAAATACAATTATCTCCAAGATATTTTAACTTGTGATGATTAAGTACCATATCCGCCAAGAAAAACGATTTGGTGATTGCAGAAACGGATACAAAAATTTACAACAAAAAATACGCCTGATACTTGAAACTGCTGCTATCTTTTGCATTATAAGAAAGTTTACAAAACAACATATTGCTTCGGTCCTTTATTTAAATCATTCGTAATCATACAGATTAGCTCACAATGTAGGCTTTCGATTGTAACGTTAATTTGCAAATCTTGTCATTTCAGGGTTAAATAAAATCCAGTATATCCTTTTTGTACTCCAATTTCCTTTCTAAATTATCTTTATCATCAATTCTTTATTTTTTCACGGTCTTATGTACTTAAATAAGTTGTTAAACTGATGTACGTAGTTTAGCTACTAAACGGAAAGCTGAAATGAAATGTAAATTAGGCATTTGATTTATTTTAACACTTCTAATTCTGTGAAAGTCATTTCTTAAAACCGATTAAAATTTACACTACTAAAATGCACTTACTCCTACAGTGTGGTCTAAATGTGAAAAAAATAGGTTATGAAAATATATGAAAAATGTACTTTGCCTGTACTCTACCTAATTAATATTTATGTGCTCTTTAAAAAAAATAAAACATTTTAGTTTATCATCTGATACATTGATTGATTTCTTGTTCTTTGATTATCACAGCAAATCCAGGACTACAATAAGGATTGTGGGGATCATACTATTTTAGTGTAAAGCGGCTTGAGATTTTGGTTTTATGATTCAAAACGGACTATCTTGATTATTCTGACGGACTTTTATAAACTGAAAAAAAAAATTATGTACTGCTTTAATAACTTCCGTCCTGTCCAATCGTTTATATACAATCAAACAATACAGTGAAAGAATGAAACACATTTCAAGGTAAGCCTTCAGTTTTCCTGACATTAAACTTTAACTGTTTTAATGGTCAAAATAAATATCCTTGATGATTATCTTTGATGTTCTAATCAAAATTACAATGACATTTTCAAAGCTAACTGTGTTGATAAACAGTTAGTGAATTTGTTGTAGCATATCAAGATCATGGGTATATCAATACTTTCGTATGTCGACGTTTGGAAGAATACTAATATCTTTATCTCGGGTATCGTATAATATTAAGTAACATAAAAACTAAGCCTATACAAAAAATGTGATTAAATAATTGAATAAAATATAGTGTCTTAAAATATTTTACACAGTCATTATTTTTGTTGTAAGCGGAAAATTACATTTGAAAATTTACAGTTCAGATATTATTTTTATAGGTGCGAATGATTTGTTTTAAGAAAGCCATGAACTCAACTGTTTTACAATGAATCACTTATGTACTGAAGATACGCAGAAAATTTAAGATTATGTATTGAAGATGTGTAAAAATTTAGATATTATGTATTGAGAATACTTAAAAATGTAGATATTATGTATTGAGAATCATTTAAAATGTAGATATTATGTATTGAGAATATTTAAAAATGTAGATATTATGTATTGAGAATAGATAAAATGTAGAGATTAAGTACTGAGGATACGAAAATTGTAAATGTTAGAAAACGTAAGAAAAAATAGTAATTCTTTGAAAGAAAATATATATGAAGAGACTAAGAGTTTTTCTAACAATTACATTTTTTTATATCTCATATTTTCTAAACTGTATTTTCAAATTTATTAAATTTTTACAAGTTAATTAGTTCTTTATTCTATTTCTCTGTAGCCCAAATCCAAAAATGTCTGTTTTGTGGTCCTAGTTTCTGACAAAGATCATTTGGACTTTTTTTTTTTCTTGAGAAAAAAGAACTTATCTTTTGCATCGTACCTTTCGGATTCAATTCAAACATCGCCTGGTTTCAACATACGCCCAGAAAACTCCGAAACCTTGACGTCAACAGAAAACATTATTAGTTTGTTTGTTTTTTACACTTACTGTCCCAATGTTCTCCTTTTTATCGCAAAAATTAAGCCAAGATCCTTGCAAGCGTGACAGTTTCTTACTACCTCAAGTGCTGTTTATGGTTTCAATAAAATCACTATTAACTGAGTATCAAGCAAAACAGTTAAGTACCTCACGAAGTGCTTCACTTCATGAGGGAAATAAATTTTACCCAAAAGTTTACTTTAAAAGAACTTATTTTCATTTATTCAAGATATTCCATGAGGACAGTCAAATTGAATATAAATGTCAGTTGAAAATGACAATAAATTTTTGATTATTCCATATACGACTCTAAGTAATTCTACAGATATATTTGGATAGGATTCGTAGAACTGTACTCCTGCGTGGTTTATACCTTGCAATAACGATATATTGAGGTCAAAGTTCATGTCATTCAAAGATAACCCACTGAAGAGTGTATTCAGTTAATCGGGTAAAGCTTTGGTGTTATATATATTTAATCCTTCTACTTACATGTGATGCTATTACAAGTTTGAACTGTCATCCGCCTACACAGTGCTCCATTTGAAACTCTCGACCTAATCTGTTAGTATCTTATATTTCCCCTACAATATTCTGTGCTTCTATAGCATTAACTGTACTTCCTTTTAAAGTTAAACTACTCCGTACGTCGGTTAAAACGGAGTCTCTGTATTCTACTTGAATCCGTTGAATGCAGAATGAGTGAGGATCAAGAAAATCATTGTTCTTCGTCTTCACCTTGAGAGTTGTCAGACGAGTAAACAACGGTCTGATTTAAGCCATGACTTGAAGAACTCCTGGGGTGTTCAAGGCAGTCAAGGAGTCAGTTGACTTTTAGCTCGTGCGGTCCTGCATTACTGTGCTCGAGGGATAAACCTCTATGTTTTCTCAATGTATTTTTAAGTGTTTGGTGAAGCTTTTCACGGACAGATTTAAGCGGATTACCTTTCTGGTAAAAGAAAAAAAAATACAAGAAGAAAATGAAGAAGTGAACGAAACAACATGTAATATCACGAAACTAAATGATTAATACAGTTCTCTGGATTTTTTCAAGAAATAAAAGTGTAGAATCGTAATAACAAAGCAATATCTTAAGTCTAAAGTTAATGAAAGATTCTTGCATAAATACAAAACATGTCATTTGACACTTTATTTCCGAAGAGAAAAATAAATTCTGTAAATTCAGTAAACTGTACCGTACATAGTCTACCTGCAACCAAATATGTAATACATTTGTTTGTTTCTTGGTGAAAACCAGATGCTTATAGACAAAATTAAGCGTAGAAATCCTCTTAAACATAATGTAGCACGTCAACCAAAGAGGAAATATTGCACAATCCGATATTATTAAGGGTGCACCAAGTGCAGTAGCTTACTGTCTTCCTTTGAATATTTTTATCTTTGACACATTTTTCTCATGTCAATCAAATCCCTTAAGAAGATTACCGAATATGTTATGTGTAATAAAAAATAGCTGATGCATAAGCAAAGTTTTTCACAAAAGTAAAACCATTTTCTGTTCTGAAGAAAACTAATTAAACAGTTTGCTCATCAGCTGGAATGTTGTAAAACCAAAGATTTTTGTGTGCAAATTCATAAGTTATGAAATGGATCTTTAAGTTGTTAAATTAATTTTTCAAAATATTCAAATAATTGTACATAAAGAATGGAATTTCAGTTAAAGAATATTTCTGAATGTTTATAAAGTTTAACAATCAGGTTATTTGAATATATATATATATATTCAGCAATATTTTTGAAAATAATTTATTCGTTATAACAGTGAAGATATTTGAGTTGTTTGTTGTTTTGTTTTTACTTATGAACTTTCTTCAATATTTGATTATTATTTCATTATTAACTGGATTGAATTTTGTTGCTGTTGCAATTTTGGCCCTTTTTTTAGCTACTTCAGACATAAGTTTGGTCCAGTACTTAATTAAGATTTTATTAAGCTCAGTTCAATATTGAGTACTTTAATTAAAATTATCTGATGTATGCATTTTTGAAAAAATGCAAAACATACGTTGTAAAACAAATTATTGGTATTGTCGTAAAAAGCAGCCCAAAGAATTCATATTTTCAAAAAAAAATCATACTATTTCTTTTAAAGACATTTCATTCTTAATTATCTATCCTTTAGAAAAACTAAAATTTTACTTAAAACTATATTCATCTGATACATCGAGAACCCTTAACGCTATCAGCTAATAAACTTATGTAATATATATAATGAACCCTCAACAAAACTATCAGTTAATAAAATAATGTAATATATCATGAACCCTCAACAAAATTATCAGCTAATAAATTCATGTGATATATAATGAACCCTCAACAAAACTATCAGTTAATAAAATGATGTAATATATATCATGAACCCTCAACAAACTTATCAGCTAATAAATTAAGCGGTGCTCATTATGAAAAAGATAGTCGCACGACAATCTTAACTTCTTAAAAACTAGAAAAGCGACCTTATATATTAGCTTTATGAGCATCGACATTCCTAATTTTAGAGCTATGCTTGCTAGAGTAATTAGCGCTAAAATTGTTATTACTGGTTTTAAATATAGATTTTAATACGAATTCAAGTTACGAAATGAACAAAGTATCCTATGGTGAAACAGCTAATGTCCTGAAAAAAAACATAAAATAATTATTGAATTACGAAATGAACAAAGTACCCTATGGTGAAATAGTTAATATCATGCAAAAAACATAAAATAATTATTGCATTTTTTCCAGACTGAAAAAAAATGTCTGTTTTTAAAGAAAAATATGGAACTCTCAGCCAAAAAGTTAAACTAAACAAATAACAATAATAACCAGACCCATGTATTACATTCGTCATGGAGAAGAACAATTAAAGTCTTAATGTCGTGTTTCAGCTGTTGAGTTTATTTCAATATGTAAATTCCGGAAATAATATGAGCGTTGCTTTAGGTACGAGTGTTTTCTACGACGAACTTCCGAACTATTGTGTTTGAGAAAACGTATTTTTTTCACAGAATATATTTAAGCACGTTGAGATAATAATAAAACACTCAGAGCATGTATGTTCTCGTTAGAACTGCAGATTGGACAATGCCACTAAATTCTAGACATGAAATTTTCTTGATGTCCCCGAAAAATATTCATTTATCTGTTCAAAACTTTAGAGAGATGGATTCTATTTGTCAGAAAATAATTACTTTCAAAACAATGTCTTGTTTTTATACCGCTCACTGGAGTAAAGACATTGAATTGTTTTATGTTAATTGCCTGTTACAGCTTTCAGCGTAAAGAGCTAATCGAAAAACAGTGGATAGCCTCATTTCCCTGTTGAAGTACATAAAGGACCTCAGCTGTAGCCAGTGGGATTAATTGCAGTATTAATTGTGTTTTTACCTCATTTTTCTTCTGTGTGACTCACACGTTGTTTAGGATCGTGTAACATCATATTCGTAGACCATAGTAAATAGGAGCATAAACTATTTAGAATAATGTTTTTAAAAAGCCAGTGGAATCCATCAGCAAGTCTAGAGTTAATAAAGAACTAATGGTAGTTTGGTCACAAAATCGTTGTGCATGCTTTGTCATTGCTGTGTTTCGTAGTTACATTTTCATCAGCAAGCCCAATGTCCGTTTATGAGGTTTGAGCTCGAGCGGCACCTAGTGATACATCTATCATTAGTAATATTGTAGCTACTTAACAATCCTAACACGCGCTTAAACAAAAATCATAAATATTTCAGTACAGTTGATTTCAACAAAAAGAAAACAAAACAATAGATCAAAACTATCATGATTATACCATTCACTTTTATATGTTATAAATTATTTAAGATGACTTGCATTTATTTATAACGGTAGTATTGTGTTTCGACAGCTCACAATCGTGTGAGTAGGAGAGTACAAGCCAGGATTTGGTTTGATGGGCAGTAAGATCATTGGTTTAAATTTTATTTTCTATTTTATTGTTCTTTAAGTGAAGTCACTATATTTTTATATTCGATTTAGAGCAGAAACTACAATTTGCATGACATTAAATTGACCTATTATTGTTTTTTAGTCACTTAGAATGCTCGGATTACCTATTGAATCATAAGTAACTAATCATTTTCAGTAACTAATCCTATACTGAATCTGCAAAAAAAAATGTTTGTGTGAAAAATAATTAATTAATAGTCAGAGATGTCAACATGCTTCACATCGTGAAAATATTTTGCAAAATAATTACTTTAGAAGAACACATGCTTCACCTTAAATAGAATATAATTAAAATACAAAGCGTTGTTATGCATTATTTATGTGCTTTAAGCACTCAAATTTACTTTTAAAATTATAGTAACGATAACATTTATAATACAAATAAGGTCAGCACGCTTATGCTCTCTTGAAAATAAAATGTGACATGCCATTGACAGGGTATAATTCAGTGATGTCATAGAATTAAATGGTACTTTGTCATATTGAGTGGATATAAGCGTAAACAAAATTGGAATAAATCTTTTGTCAAAACGTATAGTGTCTGGAAAAGTTTTAGATTTTCTTTAAACCTGAAATTGTGCGTAAAACCCTTTCTGTTGCCGTTTAATCTACATAGTGATGTAATTTTTCAGACTTTCAGTATAAGGAAGACAAAACCCTAAAAACTACAATCGTTGTTGTTGTCTGAAGTTAACTACAAACTTACACACTGGGCTATCTGTACTCTACCTCTCACAGGTATTGAAACCCGATTTCAAGCGTTGTAAGTCCACAGATATAACTACAGTCAATCAATCTTTAAGCTTTAACGAATGTATTTACTCTTATTGTATTTTAATTTGCCGTTATTATTAATATACGTTTATTATCAAAATGTATTTGCA